CCCTTCCCCCAAAAGATTAAAAAGAAAGATCAATTTTTATCTTGAGAAAAAAAGGCAAATCAACACATACTACAACTACATCTCCAATCCAAGGTCCCCAATTCAAAAAATTTTGCCACCAATAATTCAATACACAATCCATTCTTGCATATTAATAAATGCAATCAAGTAAACTGATCATAGTACAGGACTGATAAAAGCAGAGGTTTACCAGCAGATCTCATATTTATACTGTCAAAAACATATAGTCGAACCAAGAAATCAAGCATATACTAAGTAGTAAGCACCCAAAATAATGAACTACAAGCTGACCTTCGCTTTGGGTATAACCTTAACAGCAACTTATTGTCCTGTGGGTTCCCCTTTCTTGAACTTGGCTGAGCAAGTATAACCAAAATGGCCTCTCCTAACCTCCTCCCCGAGCTTGTACTTGCTCCCAAAATGCTTTAAGAATCCAAAGTTATTGTCAAGTCCCCTGGCCGGAATACCCTCTGCTTCACTCCTTTCGATATTGCCACTTTGTTCAACTTCATAGACCTATGCCGCTTCGTTGCGTTGTGTAGATCTGCAAGAAGACAAGGAACAACAAGGGATTAAAAATTAAAACTTTCACCAACTCACACTACCAACCAATAATCATCATTCATCACCACCAAACTAGTAGTAGAAACACCAAAAAAGGAAAAAAATCAAAGAAAAGGAGGGAGACTCACAGAAGAAAGAGGAGAAATGGGATTTTGGTGGGGATTTTCCGATGGGGATTTTCCGGTGAGGGGAAATGGGTTTTTCTACTTTAAAGTAGTTAGGGAGAATGAAGGTCGGTGATTGACGATGCTTTTATATTTCTGGTCTGTTTTGGAAGAAGGTGGGCAAGAAGGGAGGGAGAACAATGCACGTCTAGCTGCTTCAGAGACAAAGAAAGAAAGAAAAGGGAACGAAAAAGGAGTTATAAAATGAACCCTTATATACTGGTTTTTTTGTAAATAAAAGGAAGTGTGAGGATAAAATGGGAATGCCATGTCAATTTCATTAAACATGAAGCGAGAAGCTCCCACGGAAGCAAGAAATTGGTGCTTCCTAGCTTTGCAAAGGAACGGGGAGAAGATGAGCTTCTAGAAAGCTGCAACACGTTTGAGAAGCTAACCTGTTTGGTGAAGCTTGTGCTTTTAGAGCCAAAAAGCTCTTTTCACAATCTGCACCAAACACTTTCTTAGTTGGCAAAAATGTGTTTACTCATCACTGTACTAATTATTGTTCCATTCATTGAA